CCGGTGGCTTTGAGGACGTAATCTATGACAAAGTGACAGTTTGCCCTGACATAAATCTCATATTAGGCCCAGAGGATGTCTAGTGCATTGTGAGTTTCATAATCCGTCATTACCTCTCGGTCATAATCACACGCAGACAAGACAGTTGTGCAGATAAGTACTGTATGGCAAAGCAATAGATGAAAAAGATAGGGAGAGGATTTAGCTGGGCTGTTTTGTAGAATGCGGGACTAGAAAATCTAGAGTCAAAAATTAATATTAAGAATTGCTGCACATTCATCAACACCTTGACATGACCCTTTAACTGTTTTTATCATTCTGTCAAACTATGATTTTGTGTACAGTAGTGAAAAAGGCTGCATAGTTTCTCTTTTTTTTAAATTGCATTTATTAGTGTCATTTTTGTGTGTGTGTGACCCTCATAAGACTAATTGGTTTATCTATAACTATGGTGGTTTAGTTTAACAGTGGCCTTTGCTGCTCAAAGTGGACTTTGTGTGCAGTCTTGTGCTTGGCTAGTGACTATGCTGCTACTTATTGTATGTGTATCTGGTACTGCAAGGGTCTCTGAACTGTTGGCTCATGGTCAACAAGGTTTTATATACCTATACAACATGTCTGTCAAGTTATGTGATGTCAGGTCAAACTTTATTTGTATAGCCCAATATCACAAATCACAGATTGGCCTCAAGGAGCCACATTATTGTTCTTTGTGAATTTTGCACTGACAGCTAGGAGCTTGTTTAAACTCAAAAGTATGTTGGTTAAGTTTGTAACGTGGACAAATGACTTCTGCTAGAGGAGGGAGAGAGAGTCTAGTGAAAAATTAATCATTCTAATGAGCACATAAGCTGTATATTCAGACTAAACTAGCATGAGTATCACTAGTCTGGGTGGTACCACCTCCAGTTTTTAACTAGAGCAGAGACTGTTAGAGACTGTTAACAAAAGGATAATGTTAAACTGGCATTTAGACAACGACATTCACACTGTTCAAACACACACAGAAGAAACAAACACAACCACAAACCATTTTTGCTGCCACGGGTATGCCCTGGCTGCGCAGTCTGTTGTGCTGGGCAACAATCTATGAGTGCTCCTTCACCCCAAGCCCTGAAAGAAAACAGAAACGCTCATTTACCATACAATACTTCTATTGCATCACCATGGCAACACAATGCAAATGTTCTGGAGGGATGTTTGAGTGGATGTCAGCGAAGGTCTGTGTATGAAAGACTGGAGCACAGAGCCTGTCACAATTTCATTTAAGGGTCGTGAACAAACATCCCCTAAAAATGTATTTAAAATGCCCTTAATCATTTGTTCATGTATAAATACACATGCCATTAGACAAAATGAGTTTCTATTTAATTTTTAAACTTGGAAGCTCTTTCAAATAAACCTAAAATCTTTATATCATTAATGCAACAGCATGGGGTCTGTTAGGCGTCAAATTCATCGCATCTAAGCACATTTAAGTAAAAAGTTTGGGAGAAGGGACTCAGTTCCCCAGTCATGAGATCATTTTGTTATGTGTTTGGCACAATATGATCAGAACTTTAATTTGTTAAGATGATGCCACATTTCTGTAGAACAGCAGGTAGTAACAGAGAGGCTGGGCTGCTGGTGCATTGCCAGATGGATCTGGCCAGCTAAGAAAGCCCGCTTGTCTGCAGCTTAAAGGACTGACACCTGATTGCAACATAAGGATAAAAACTTCTAATTAAAAAAACACATTCTTCTATGGTCTCACTTCACTTATGCACCAAGAAAGCCTGTCTAACAAATTTAAAATGTGTGTGAATTCCTGAAGTTCACCCTGCACTCCAAAGTCTAGTATCAACCCCTTACTCATGCACAGTGTGAAATGTGATTGCCGGTGGTGAGGGGCTTATGGAGGTCCGGTGTGTCTGTGATAATCATGCAGATCAACACGGCAGCAGAGACAAGAGGAAAAGCAGATCCAAACACAGACAAGCTGTTACAGATGCCATGGTTAATTCCAGAAGTGTCTCCAACAACAGTGGCCTCCCTGCTCTTCTCCTCCCTCTTTTCTTTTCACCAGCTCGACAGCTTTCACCTCTGTCGGTAGGCAGAGCACATATCTGTATTTGGAGAGAATTCACTATTCACACAAGGACTATAGACTTACTGTAGTGTGTCTTTAGCTTTTTTAAAGCTTTAGGCTTAGGCTATTCTTCTAATCCTGCCTTTTTGGAAAGTAATCTATAAAAAAAATGTGTTTGTAATAGGCAATGCTGTCCTTTCTACTAGTTACAAAGCAGTGCTAATGTCCAGAGTTATTCTTGCACATTTTGCGGTGCAGGTGGGTGCAAGCATGCAAGAAAAGGCTGCCCACATACAAGAGAATATTATAAAAGCAAAGATTGATAGCAAAGACAAAGAAGTCAGATTTAAAAACATTTTCCATATCATATCATGTTTTTCTTAGCTTGATTCTATTTCTGAATGCCTGAACCTCAAAAATCACAACTTTTTTTTTTATTGAAACAAAGAAACATTAACAAAACAGTAGCAAACATGGGAGACAAGACAACAGTTACATGACATTACAAAAGGATATAGAGTGTTTTAACGAGGTTGTAGTGTGTGAAGTGTGGGTATTTCCAACTTATGCAGTCTATGAAATGCAAGAAAGGGAAAAGGAGGGGAAGTAAATTTAAAAAAATTACCAATAATAATGATGATAACAGTACTATTAAAAAATCAGCTTGTTACATTTCTAGAGGTTGGTGGGAGTGTGCGCAGCCTCAGTCCCAGGTGTTTGGTTCAAGTTGAAATGTGTTAAAAATGGTTCCATGTGTCATAAAAAGCAGATAAACTATTCTTGTGAGTGGATGCCATTTTCTCTAATGTGATGTATTCTGTCAGAAGGTTGGTCCAGTGGTTTATGTGTAGTGATTTTTTTGATTTCACACCCTGGACAGGTCGCCAATCCATCGCAGGGCTAACACATAGACAAACAACCACAGACACGCACATGCACTCCTATGGGCAATTTTAGAGACACCAATCAACCTAAGCTGCATGTCTTTGGACTGTGGGAGGAAGCCAGAGTACCCAGAGAGAACCCACGCAAGCACGGGGAGAACATGCAAACTCCACACAGAAAGGTCCCAGGTGGGGCCCGAACCTGGAACCTTCTATGAGGAGTGGGTTTTTATATTTAATTGGTAGGTGGTCGATTTCTATGATATTACCGAGTAAGCAAAGTGATAACGAAGGAGGGATTCTACAGCCCAAGATGGTGGAGAGTTTCTCTGTCACTGCTATCCAGAGGGAATGAACCGGTTGGCAGGTCCAAGTAGCATGAAAGTAACTGTCGGTGCACAAAAATCATAACTTGACGCTTAGTGCATACTTCACAGTAGGCAGTGGTTGAGACAGTGAAAACCTTTAATTAAACATATATATGTTGGGTAATTTCTACTAACGCTGTACAGCAATATCTTGTTGATGATGGTCAGAGTTCATTTAAACTTTTTAGTTTAATCTTCAACACGTCTTTCTTCATTTCATTAGCTGTGCAATCTGCGAAGCAGTTATGAACATATCTATTAATCTGGCATAAAAAGTCAATAACTACTATAAAGCAACTAGATTGAAGCATGAGTGTTTGTCATTATTGGGAAGTTTGTTTTGAGAGGGACTGATGTCTACAATTCAGATGAACCACTAGAGCTGAAGCTTTATTACTGAGCTGAGGACAGCAGGAACAGGATGTCATTTTCATTTCTAAGATAAATGTGTTTGTGATTTTTTTTTTTCACTCCTTTGGATATTAAGTATAGAGAAGCATGATGTGGCAGATGTTTAAGTGGTACAAAAAAAACAGATAGGTGTGAGTGTGAAAAAGCACAGGATGGAGCTGTGTCTGTTTGGATGTGGGGACATGATTTTTATGGATCCAGTGTCGGAAGCATGACTCATGATCCACAAACTGTGGGATGAGTCAGTGTCTAGAGATGACTGCAGCATGACACAATAGACACACTCATTTTTCTTCCCTGTGGGCTGACTATATTTTGCACTGAAGACTCAGTCCCCAAGCCACCCTGTTATTTCTTATCCCTCTGATTTTGCCGCACCTGGAAAGGACAGTCTGACCCTGCTGAGCCAAATGACTGTTGTGCATACAGTCTGTTCTGAGTTCAGTCAGACATGGCCATCCACTGAGATGAGTCCTCAGGTAAATCCAACAACCGAAGGAACTACTATAAGCTGTCCCCCAGGGTCTCAGCCTCCTCATTACAATAGTGGTGTTGACTGCACACAGACACAAGACACAAGCTCATCTACACAGCAACATACTAAGTTGGAAACTTATGGTGAAAAACATTTAATTTAAACGATAAAATGTAACATTAAAATAGTTTTGTTTATTGAATCAATGACATTTTATTAACCAACATACTATTGAATTTAAACAAATTCCCAGGTGTATCACAGTATCGTCCAGGGTGGTGCCAAGGTGGCTGTCTACCAGCTGAAGCACAGTAGAAACTGAATGATGCAGCAGGACAATCGCCCTGTTTCTGGACCTCACACCACATTGTATGACCAATTATGCAATGCAGAAAACCAGCTCATTGTGTTTCTCATTTCATTATACTGACTTGTGATATTCTTGAGTTTATGACTTTTACTGCTGTAAACAAACAATACCAGAAACAACAGGAAGAGGTATTGGAAAGATCAACCAGCAGATTCTAGTCCTTCATTTGGAATTTTGGTTGTAGTACATGTGTCTTTACAGACTGGCTATTATCTCAGGTTTTATATTTAGATAATAACAATATGGTAAAAGTCTCTTTCTCTGATTGGCTCCTGAAGCGCAACCCCAGCATTCTGCAGCAGTTTTCCTCTGCCAGCTGTGGTCTTTCTTTCACATGGAGCCCCTGCACACACTAAGGGCTGCCCACTGAAATTCCACAGTGTCTGCAACTGATCGGCGACTACGTGTTGGATTGGTGCTAAACATGTTTGCATCAGTTGCACTTGTCATCGCCTTGCTGGCTTTCTGTTCACATCATCCTACTTTAGGACAGGTAAGTACAACACAATGTTATAGACTAATGAGTGATGAAATTAATTAGACTCACAGAAAGTTGCTTCAGCTTATATAACATTTTCAAAGAATCCAGGGTAGGAATTCACTCAATACTGTATCTATGCTGTGCTTCACTGCAGATCTGTTAATCTTTTCCAGAAAAGCTGCATCTGTCTGTGGATGACTTTTTTAGACCTTTGCATACAAGTCTGCTTCTGTTTTCTTATTTCATCAGATTGTGAATGGTCCTGTATGTGTATGTACTTTATGTATGAAGGTTAGTGTAGGTTTTATAAAGTTGCACATCTGTGATTCAAAGTTATTATATGTAAACAATTTCAAAATTCATCAGATTTAATAGATCTTCTGTACTGTACTGTATTCTTTAGCTCAGTGACCGCATGCCTCCTACAGTACATACTGTGGTAACATCATCCAGTTAACGCGAAGCCATGTGAAATGTCGCTTAGCACAGGCAGAAAGAGGCCTTTGACAACTACTCTATAAACACCAGCCATCTCCTCGACTGACTGAAGTCTTTCCAAACCCCAGTTCTCTCCAAATCAGAAAGGTATTTTCAACAAATATTGACTTTCTTACATAACTCCTGCTGGATGAAAACACTACATGGTTGTCTGAAAACATACATGAGAGGACAGGGCAGAAGGTGGAGAGGGACTTGAATGAAGGAGAGTAATGAGGGAGGAGAAAACAAATCAGCACCACTCCCCAGTCCTTGCATCCAATAGAAAGAGTGAAAAAGGGGTGTTTATGCTGAAAGCATTTACACCTGAATGACTAACCCCAAAACCCTAATCCACCACAAGATCAAGTGATTACCAGTAATGCAAGCTAAAAAGCTTTGCTGATATTACCCTCTATCCTAATGTGACACAGGGCAGTTACGTAACTAAATAAAGACGATATAAAACCTCCACACAGTGAGTCACCTAAAACCACATCACAAGAATAGTAAACTGGTCACTCTCAGAATCTTGGCCTGTGCTTTACTACTTTACTTTTAATTAAACCATCACTGTGCTCTATGTACACATGAAGCATCTAAAACACATATTGCGATGATCAGATTTCTTTTTCACAACAAAATTTTGATTACGGTCACAAAAAACATACACAAATGTTAAGTAATTCATATCAGTTTGTGCAACATAATAAGGAGTGTGATTTTTTCAAGTGTGTGTCTGTGGTTGAATGTGTGGTTACCAGTTCAATTCAGTTCATTCATCTTCTATACCGCTCAGTCCCAAATGGGGTCGCGGAGGGGCCTGGAGCCAATCCCAGCCAGCAATTGGGCAAAGGCAGGGTACACCCTGGACAGGGCACCAGTCCATCGCAGGGCACAAGTCCATTGCAGGGCCGACACACAGACAAACAACCACTCACATGCACACTCCTACAGGCAATTTAGAGTCACCAGTCAACCTAAGGCGCATGTTTTTGGACAGTAGGAGGAAGCCGGAGTACCCAGAGAGAACTCACACAAGCACGGGGAGAACCTGCAACCTTCTCGCTGTGAGGCAACAGCACTGACCACCGCGCCACCGTGCTGCCCCGATTCGATTCAATTCAATTCAATTCAATTCAATTCAATGTGTTTATTGTCATATGCACCGTATGGAAACATGTTTCCCTGCAGAATGAAATTCTTGCCACAGAAAACCTTGTGTAGGGTCTAAGTGTGTCTGGCTCAGATACAAGTTGTAATCATCAACTTCATGAGTCATTCATTAGTCAATCTATGTTTTGTTCAAGGACTGTCTTGGTAGACAGGAAACACACGGCTCCCTGAAGCAGGTTCAGAAGCTTCTCTCAGCCCATGAAACCTCCTACTTGCAGAGTCTGCGCAACCTGAAAAAGAAAATAAACTTACTACAGAGCAACGTGGGGAAGCCGGCAATAAAGCCCATCAACAGTGAGTTAAACACCTCAAGACATGTTAAATGTTAAACTGTCATTCAGTTTTTATCACTTTCTACTTTTCCAACAGGTACTTGCACAAAACTGGATGCACCCATCAATGGGAGGAAACTTGGCAAGTCACACAGCGTGGGCCATGAGGTTCACTTTCTGTGCGATCCTGGCTATGAACTGGTGGGATCAGAGAGCAGGATTTGTCAGGAAAGCCTGACCTGGAGCGGTCAGCAGCCCACCTGCCGAGGTGAGAACCCAGCACTGATCTTCTAGCCTCACTGAGATGATCGTTTTCCCCACTGCCTCGTCCTCGTCCCACCAAAGTGTCTTCTTTCCCCTCAGTTATTCTGTTTCCTGTCTCACTGATCGGTTTACAAACCTGTCATCATCCTCTTATAAACCTCTCGTAATATCCTCCTCTCTTGCTCTCTACCTCTATTCTTCTTTTTGTGCATTATTCACATGTCACAGCATTTTTCTATGTTGGATACATTTCAGAAGAGGCCCATGATCATATTTCCTCTTTATTCTACTTTGATCATTGTCCAGAGAGCTTACTGAATGCTGTGACATGCAATATTCCATCTTCAGTGTTCTCTGAAGGGTTTTTCAACATCTGTTCCACTTTTTTATTATTCACTCTCCAACACCTAAAGTACATGCAGTATACCATGATGTCACACAATCTTATGAAGAATCAAAGATATCCAATTGCATGTCCTTCCTGTCTTTTCTTTCAGACATCAATGCGTGTGCATCCTCTCCGTGCCTGAATGGCGGGACATGTACGGACGAGGTGAACCAGTTCTCTTGTTTCTGTGCCAAAGGCTGGGCTGGAGCTACATGTCAGAGCCCTGTGCCAACGTGTAGGTAGAATACACATCATAGCCACACCGCACAAGGCTGACAGAAATGTAGTTTTTCTTCTCCATCTTAGTGTTGCTTGTATTTAGGTCCAAAACCCTGAAAAGAGATTCATAAACAGCCCACTGATTAAAATCCCTAGTGAATTATACAAATTATAAGCAGTGTTACTGAATTTCTACAGCTTTTTTATGACATAATGTTGAATTGACAAGTTCAGAGTATCTGCAATAGATTAAAGTTCCAAATAATTTACTGTACTGAAAAAAGCAAAAGCAAAACAGCCTATGACAACTCTTTTTGTTTCCATCACTGATAAAATCCACATTGATACCATTTACTCTTTTCTTAAATTGCATTTGATACTGCAGTTGTGACTGACACTGTGTCACAGAAACACAACAGTTCTACACATCTGCCATGTCTACCACAGGTTGTCCGTTAATGACTGAATGAGATACAGAGCTACTGCTACAGCTGCTTCTTTCTCCTTTTTCCTGTTTTCCTCATTCAGTCTTTGTCACCATGACAAACACCTCCGCTGCCTCCGCAGCCACTGCTGCGGCTGCTGCTGCCCCACTGCCACTACTGGGCCTCTTGTCCGTCCATCACGCTGCACCGTCACCCAGGGCACCACCCATTGCACCTGTGAGCCAGGATACACCATCTCTGGCAGGGACAGCAACACCTGCACCGGTAAAACTAACACCTGCCCAGTAACTAAAAGAGATACACACAATTATGTTTCCACATAAAGCGTTGACTGTATGTGTGTTGCTGTCTTCAGATATTGATGAATGTGAGCTATTCCATAATGGCCAGGCTGGCAGATTGTGTTTGCATGCTTGTGTTAACACTCCTGGAGGCTACCGTTGTTCGTGTCCTATCGGATATGATGTGACCCGTGATGGACGCAGCTGTAAAGGTGCACACTCGTTGTTGTTATTACATTCAGTAACATATACCACAAAATAGTCTGTGTAGTAAATACTGGGGACAAAACTTACAGTATATACAGTATGAATGATAATCCAGCTACTTTCCATGTTTGAATGTGTTCATGTGTTCTCACAGACATTGATGAGTGTGCGACAAGACGAAACAATTGCACAAATGAGCAGATGTGCATTAATACATATGGTGGTTTCCAATGTGTTCGTGTGGACTGCCCCAAAGTCCCTAATGCTGCATATGTCAAAACGTCGCCTATGTGAGCACTATCCTCATTCATTTTTTACATTTGAGTTCATTCCTGATCTACACATAGAGTATTTTTTTCATTTGAGATGCACAAGACTGAAGTCTTGACAGTATAACTATTGTGATTAAATAAATTATGCACCATTTCTCACTCTTGGATTACCTCTTTCTGCTCCATCTTGCTCAGTTTAATTTGTATTTCTTTGCTCCAGGCGTTGTGAACGTAACCCCTGTCCTGTGGACAACAAGGCATGTTCTCAGACTCCAAATTCCTTCTCCTACCATTACCTGGCTGTTGTGTCCAACCTGTCAGCCCCTCGAATCATGTTCAGGGTCTCAGCATTGCGTCAAGTGGGTGACACACTCCGGTTCTCCCTGCTGGGAGGAAGGCAAGCTCGGCGCCACTTCACAGTCCAGCGTTCAGACCGTCTGACAGGCCAGCTGATGCTGGTGAACCCCGTGCAGGGCCCTGTCACACTGGAGGCAGAGGTAGAGATGAGTGAGCTGGAGAGGAGAGTCCAGCTGGGGAGGTATATCACCAAAATCACCATGTTTGTTTCACAGTATGAGTTCTAGAAAGAGAAGGATGAAAATGGAAACATGCTTAGAGTTCACAGGCCAAACACATGTCTGGTTTAGTTTTAGCTATGGACTCTATATTTAGTCCTAGATGTGTGATAACCTGAAGCATTGTGGTGACCATATTTAGGATCACCTGTACTATTGCTGAAGGAGCTGCTGCAGCCAGGTCTCAAAGCTGCAGTAAAGTAAGCATGAACCAGTTTATTGATGCTCAGCTTAAGGCAGAACAGCACCTGTCTTGCACAGCTGCATGCTATAAATGTTAGAACTTGGGTTCTTCAGGGAAATTAGTAATAAGCCAAAGAAATACATATTGAGCGATGCATGATTTGATTACTTAAATATAAGCACATGAATTTTATATGTATTAACTAAAGCATTGCACAAAGATAGTAATGAGTGTAGGAGACAAAAAAGGTGAATTATATGATGTAGCAAACGGTAAAACAGTATTTAACTGAAGAACACTTGTAACAAGCTGAAACAAAAAATATGTGTTCACTCTGAAAGAAAGTGCTATTTGAAAATTCTGTAAACCTTTTAACTTTCATATTTTATTTATCTTCTGGTCTCAGTACAGTTATAATATTCTTGCCTCCAGCACAAACATTAAAACACCACATACTGTAAACCATAGAAAGTCTGGTCTTTTATTTGCAAATGCATAATATATACACATATACAGTATGTAAAAGAAGATACAGTATGCGTGCAGTGGTTGTTTAGGAAACACTTTAGGTTTTGCAGTACAGAGCAGTGCTGTTCAGCAAACAGACAGCCAAAGACAGGCAGCTGAAAAGAGCCACTGTGTTCCTACAGTGCATGAATAACTTTAACTTTTAAATTTGCAAAACAAATACACACAGAAATATGCAGGTGTCATAGCACTCTGCAAGTACTGTACAGTATGCTGCTCATTTTCCTTTCATGAGGGGGTGTGTATTTGGCAGAACTGTGGCGTTTTAGAGAAGTGTGATGAAATTTGTCACCTCTGTGCTGCACCAACAATCTATCTACTCTTTGGTGTTACACAACTTTCTGACAAAGAGAGTGCATCTGTGGATAGTAAGGCAAAATGTAGATTCACTGGAGACAAAAGGATGTCTTTAGTTTCAGAGGGGCTTCACAGTACTGTGGCTGAGACTCACTGATGACACTGCTGAGGTGGCAGGGGAGCTTTATCCATGGGATCCTAAAACAAGATAGCACTCTGAGTGAAGGAAAAAGGTGCATAGAGATAGGGAGGCAGAAAGAGGGTGATGGTTGAATGGACAAGGCTGAATAAAACCAGATTCACGCTAGTTAGTCAGTCACTGGCTGAGGGGTGCGGGCTGAATTAGAAACTGCTGTCTTTATTACCGCACAGAATAGACCTTTGAGTGTTCTTTACTCCATCTCTCCCTTTCCTCTCTTAATGAAAGATTGAGCAATAGGGGGAGGGTTAATTGGAGATTGTCCTTATGTCTGTCCCTCAGGAATCCACATGAGGTAATGATTCAGTATTAAAAGTTCACCCAGGTTCCTCCTTTTCCACTTTCGCCCCCTAGTAGCTCCCATTCCAGTACGCAAATAAAACCCTCTTCTACTCACCTACAGCTCATTGTTTATGCAAGGTTCAACCTGGTGCACAACAGCCTGTGAGCACAGCTAGTGTTTGCCTGTCCTCTGTTATCCTTCACTTCTCTAAATTGTATTACAGTGACTTTCAAATCCTTCCACCGCCCAAATTTCCTCTATAGTTGTCTCCAATGTGGCTGTGTCAAAATGTGCAGATTAAAACAAAACTTGTGAGTGCTGGAAGTGTGTAGGAGGCTGAAATCAAACATCCTGATCTCAGTCTGGTGTGTGGCATAGTCATGAGAAACCAGCTCCCTCTCTTTGACAGCAGCTTGGTTTATCACTGGTACTTACTTTGGTCTCATCTGAAGTTTAATGGAACAAAGGAGACTGTTACTGGGTCTACAGGGAGTGCAAATAGGACTCCACGGTCACTTTGGCTCAGGGCCATTCACTGTGGGAATGCAGGTGAACGGACGAGGTAGGAGGGCGGGAGAAGGGATAACAGGCACGTCAGTAGTGGTCAGGGAAGCAACACTGAGCTTAACCTTGAGTTGAGTTAAGGTAAGGTTAAACTAGCAGATTATGTGGGTACAGTATAGGATGACAGTCTGTACATCACATTCTAATCCCAAATTAGACACATGGTCAGCTCCTGCACTAATAACATACCGATGCTTCTTTCTTTAACAAGTTTATTGTTGTATCTTTGTACTGAATAAATCATTGCAAAAGAAAATCTGTGTATGCGCATGTGCATTTTCAGCCTATGATGTAACACTGCCCCCTGCTGACCACAGATTAGAGCTGTTGCACATTCAGACTGTGAAAATACATAAACCATGACTGCATTATTCTTGTCTTCACCAAAAGCTGGTATTATGTTCAATAGATTATTTGGTTTTGTCTTGTGTATTGTTTCAGTTTGTAACATACACAGTGAAAAAAGTACATTTTATCTAAAGACTTGCATTTCTGAGGCTGCAGTCAACTCTGGTGGAGTTATTTCTAAGAGTTATATGGTTATATTTGTTTGATATGGTTTTAATTTTTTTAAATACGGCTGGTATAAAGAGTATATCAATCAATCAATCAATCAATCAATTACAGAAGTGGATTAGTGTCACTGCATAAAATGTATTTGAATTCTGACATTAAACTCAGAATTCTGAGTTTAATTCAAATGCATCTTATTATTATTGGTATAACACTGGATGAACAAAAATGGACTTTGGACCCACAACATAAATGTAACTTCAGTTTGTTACTGAAGCTTGAAAGATGAAACACTGCAGACTGAAACACTGTGTTACCCTCTTCAGACTTCAGAAATATGACTCAGACAATATTATCCAGCTGAAACCAACCTCATTAAGCCACTACCACATTTAAGAGGATGACAATCCCCTGGAATTGCCAGAATGAAGGCAGACCAAACACACTTTGTTTTTAGATTTAGCAAACGATTGCATCAGCTTTGTGTGGGAGAAACACAAGCACAATAATGAAAATGGACTATAAAGCTATAATTGTTTTTTTTCTGGACCCACAGAACTACAGAAATTAAAGGCTGCAGGCACTAAAGAGATGGATGGAAATGTGCTTACTAGGACATCTATAGAGACAACTGGGAGTTCTGAGAAAAATAACATCAGGCAATGGCTGACTTGCTGAATTGCTTTAAATGTCACAATCAACTATAACAAAAAGCTGTTGATAAGCAATAATAAAGACAGTTCAGAGAACTGCTCACTTACAGTACAGCTGAAACCTATTAGGAAAGTGATACTGTTTTATGCTTTTGGCTGTACACTTACTTGAATAATCATAATTGCTGAAGGCAGAATTTCACATATATGAGCTGTTCATTGGATGTGAGCCCTCAAATTAAAACCCTTACCCTTAAAGTCAGTGTCAGTTCTTTCAAATCCACAAGATAAAATGTCAGAGCTAACAAGGCAAAGAAACTGTCACTCTCTTGCTTTCTGCCTAAAATATATGTCAGAATCAAGAACCATAAACCAAAATAAAATGCATCTGAATTCTGACTTTAAACTCAGAACTGACTTTTTCTCTGTATGAAGTCATTGTTCGGGTATAATCTTTCACAGCAAACATGATAACAAATAATATAACTAACAAAATGAATGGTGGCTGAATTCCACTTAGTTGCTTCAGTTTCAGGTATGCGTTGTTGTGTATGCTGCTGGCTCACTGTCACACACATGGCTTACTCAGACACTCAGGAAGAACAGAGCCATTCTTAATTTTAGTAGCACCTGTGCTTTTCCTACTGTGGCCAGTCAAACTGTCTGCTGAGAAACAGGCCTACTGGAAGGGAAATGAACACTTAACAGGACAGCTGGTGGAAACACAAAACTGTGGTTCCAACAAAGACTACAAATGTTAATGAGCACTTCTGTGGTAGACTCAACATTTATTGCCAGATGGATTTTTAAATGTTCCCTGTTTAATGCTTACATTTTCTCTCTGCTGGTTATTACTAAGTCACTATAAGCAGACAGGTCGCGTCTGTCTTTGTTGTGAATGATTCAATTTTTTGTTATTATTGTGACTCATAATGTGAATTTCTCACAGTTACACCATTTCTAAAAAAAAATATTTTATTCTATGAAACTGTAGAGATAAATATAATATGAACAAAAGACTTGTGGGGGAGCCACTCATGTCTCTCTGTGTCTAGAAGACAAATCACAATTAAATGTTATTTATAAGGTAGCACATTTTTATGTATTCTTTGATGCTCCCTTTTCATAATCACAAATAACAAACCTTTGTTCGCAGGTCTTTGTACAACTACAGGAAAATCAATTTTAATGGAACGATCAATCACCAAAATGTTTGTTCAGACACTGATTGTTGGTTGTGGGTGAGATTAAGCCACTTCCGTTTTTCAGCATAGAACTCTCTTCATTGCTTTTACATTCATTCTGATGTATTTCCTTTTTATGTCCATTTGGCTTAAGGCACTTGCTACACCTAAGTGTTAATATGGTAGGGAAAACCTCAGTAATGATGTTAACAAAACGGACAGTGCACAGGCTCTTTTCTCACATTTGTGGTCTTGACTGGTCCTTAAATAAAATCCTGAGTCCACTTTGTCTGAGACCGATGGAGTGACTGCACTGCACAGAGGGTGTATCACGGTTCCTACTGATCTCTTTTTATGGTTTAGAAACTCCTTTATGAGCGACATAAATTGTCTGTATTGAGCTGTCCTGAAATTAAATGTTATATATTTTATTTCGCTTTTATCTTATCTACATTGTTGTTTTTAATCATATTGCACAGTTTGTAATGTGTAAAAACTATGCTATGACACACAACAAATCACTGATGTTACTTTTGAGGAGGGATCACATTACAGCCCTTATACAATTACTTATGACAAGAGAGGAAAGTGAGTCAGCTAAGTCTGTTTGAACATAGCCCTGGTAATAAAATGAAGTCACACCATAAGAAGCCTAACAGCAGAACACTGTGGGGGCCTTGATTAATGTTCGATCTATCCAGCCAGTACTTATCAGTGGCTTGGCTTTCATTTCTACTCTCCCACATTCACAGCCTGTAGCATCACTGTACAGTATGTCACTCAATCCCAGATCAAATGTAGGCAGTACCATGTGTTTGTGTTGGAACATGCCCACCCACAAGGGAAATGTCAGGATGATGATTGCTCAGGGCCAATCAATAGTTGTGTGGGAACATTTATCAAGTTCTTTGAATATTAAGTGCCCTTAATATTCAAAATATAGCTGACTACTCAATCACAGTGGAAACTGTGTGAAAACCTGCACAAGGGGTGGCTATTTGAAAACAGACAGAGTTGGTTCTAACTTACTGTGAGACTAAAATTCATTAGAATTGATCACAGTTATTTTGCTATTATTATAAAAAAACAATGCTGATGTTAATGCTGAATTAAAGTAGCTTTCATCTAAATCACAGTTTGTTTCATTCCAGCTACAAATCAAACATCTTTCATTCATCACGTTGAGTCTGTAGGTTATAAGGTTAAGGTTATGAAGCAGTTTACTTGAATTCCTGGATCAACAGCAAATTATACTGATAAGAACAGGCAGAACAAATGCAGAAAATAAGGCCAGTTTCAGTGCCACAGATCAGCAATTATTACATCAAGTGCTGTAATAGAATGTTGAAACACTCTCAGCATGATTATTTTATTTTATTAAGTCTTTGCTTTGCACTGAACGCTCTCAGCCAGAATCCAGCCCAAACGCTGGCTCCTCCTTCTGGTGCCCCCCTCGCCTTCCATTCTCAAAATAACACCCCCAGCGTTATCCTGAATCCACGGTGCAACTTCTGCTACACAAAAAGTAAGTTACGTTAGCTGTTAATGCTAACGAGAAGCTACCCATTCAATGCACGTTGTTTATCGTTGGCATTTCTTACAGGGGGATGTGGTACCAGATGTGCAGCCTCATCCTCGTTTGGGTTTTGTTGTTTGGGCTGCTGCTAACTGGCTAACTTTAGCTTAGCGTAGCTGAAGTTATCCGGGAAACAGACGACCCAACTTTAGCGTCTCTGATGTGGGAAGCTTCGTGCTGTAGATGCCCTTTAAAAAAACAGGCGTGTGCGTGTTTTATCTTTTCTTATCGATGACGGTACCCAACGCATTTAGCTGGTTAACAGCTACTTAGTTTAAAAGCGGTAACGTTAGGTAATGTCTCCATCGGCTAACGTTACCTCGTTAAGATGGTCATCATTAGTCCATAATGATGGCTTTAACTAGTCGTTTTAACCAGTCTAAGTTAAACAACGAGAATTTGTTAATGTACGAGTTTGGCCGACAGTGCAGCACTGGTGAAATGTAATCAAGTACCTTTACTCAGATATTTTACACATGTACAAATATGTGTGGTAACAAATGATCAGAATAATCCACAATGAACATAGTAGTTGCAGCCCTGAGCAACATAGGCTAGTTCAGTCAGCTCCACCTTGGACAGCTGCAGCAGTACAATGATGCATCAGGATATCGTGTATTCAGTTCAATTCAGCTAATTTGTATAGCACCAAATCACAACAAAAGTCATCTCAGGACACTTTACAAAGTAAAGTCTAGACTTTATTATTATTATTATTATTATGGAGGGAAAAACCCAACAACTCCATACACACTAGTTCTGAAGCCAGTTATTATTGCTGCACTACCTGACAGGGTGGGAAGAAGAGGAGGGAATACTGCTGGAGTTTGTTGACTCCTACTTTGCCCTTAAAGGGCGAAAATTAGAGGGAGAAGTTAGTTAATGCAGCTTTAAAGTAGACTGAAGGATCTGAATACTTCCTCCACTACAACAGTTTAGTAATGTTCATATGGCACAAATCACATCACAGTGTTAACAAGCTATCAACTACTACATTAACCTCATAGGAAGACTCTGTATCAGGTTTTAGGCAATGCTGTTAAATTCAGTTTTGAAGTGTCATATATTATAGGGCATACCAAAGTTTTAAATAATGGTGTGGAGCTCAGGGAAGTGACTTTCTGTTACCGTTTCACTGAATATTATTGTAGATGTAGACATTCATACTTGCAGTTCAATCTTATCATCTTAAATTGGCATCATAATGTCCTTTTAATAACTTAATTTGAAGTTTTTATCTGACCAACAATCCAAAACCCAAATATATTAAATTTACCATCTTACAATACAAAGAAAGTAGTACATTCTCATGTATGTGTACAATGTGTACTGTGAGACTGAATTTGTCATTTGACAGATTTTTCCATTTTGCATTTTAGTTAGTGCACATCAGTATTGAATTCCTAAAGGTCAGTGTGAAGAAATACCTAAATGCATCAGGTATTTAAATCGCTTATTCCTCTTTGATTATGTTAACTAGGCTATTGACAGTTTTCTAAACTTATAAAAGTAAACATTTTGTGATAGAGGATTTTATCTATATTACTCTCTCCTGTTGTAGTTTAAAGTGAAATGGTTGTAGACCGTTATCTACCTGCACAAAGCAATAAGTGTGTTTGAGCTGCTAAGTTGGTTTGTTGCATTAATCATCTCACTACTGGCCTTATGTCTGCAGCCCGGTGACATGAGATGGTGACCGATGATTTCTATCCCCTCTAGTGGCCTAGCGATGATCAACACATAGCAGAGGGACACAGAAGAGCTCCAACACTGCAGCAGAAATGTCTCCCAAAGTGCCCAGCGGCCAAGGCAGGGGGGATTATTCTGCAGTCCAGGTAGCTGTTCGAGTGCGTCCCCTGCTGCCTAAAGAGCTTCTTCACTGTCATGAGAGCTGCATCACTGTGGACCCTGAACTGCGTCGGGTTACCTTGGGCCATGACCGACACTTCCTTTGCGACTTCCTATTTGAAGAAATCTGCTGTCAGGAGGAGGTTTATTCTGTGTCTGTCCAGCCACTCATAGATGCCTTCTTCCAAGGTTTCAATGCAACAGTCTTTGCCTATGGGCAGACAGGCTCAGGCAAGACATACACCATTGGAGAAGCTAATATTTGTAAGTGAATTATTTTATCTTTTCTTGCATTGTCCACGTAAGTTTAGGATTAGTTTAGTTCAAAACAGAGCAAGAGCAGACTGAAAGTACAGCAAACATCAGCTGGACTTGTCAAACTAATAATGAATTGTGCTCTAATCAACTTTCACTGTACGAATCCACTTGTATGTGTTGTAATTGTTGTAGGCTCCTTCAGAGATGAGGAGCAGGGCATCATCCCCAGGGCTGTTGCAGACATCTTCAAGTTGTTAGATGAAAATGATCTCACAGACTTCTCTGTCCGAGTCTCCTATCTGGAGGTCTACAAGGAGGAGTTCAAGGACTTACTGGAGATGGAGACTGCCAGCAAGGACATCCACATCCGGGAGGATAAAGGCAACATTGGTATGAGACAATCAGTTTCTAAGCATGTTTTTGGGGGCTGTGATACAAAATATGCAGAATCTTTTAACTTTAAATGATATGTGTATGCTTTTATCCGCATTTAATATGTTTCTCTGTGTGACTTCATAGTTTTGTGTGGTGTAAAGGAGTGTGAAGTGGAGGGTCTTGATGAGGTGCTGAGTTTACTAGAGTCAGGAAACACAGCCAGACACACTGGTGCAACCCAGATGAATCCAAACTCCAGTCGGTCTCACACCATTTTCACCGTGTACATGGACCAGCGACGGGGAAGCTCACGCCTTTATGGGACTGCTACAAGTGCTGGACCACAAATGTTATCTTCCAAGTTCCACTTTGTTGACCTGGCAGGTTCAGAGCGCATCTTAAGGACGGGTAACAGTGGTGAGAGACTAAAGGAGAGCATTCAGATTAACAGCGGTCTTCTGGCCCTGGGTAATGTTATTGGGGCACTAGGGGATCCCAAGAGGAAAGGTTCTCACATACCATACAGAGATTCTAAAATCACAAGGTACATTTTTAACAAGTTCATGATACTTTAGCAAATCATTTTAAAAGAAATAGGTGTATCGTTTTAGTTTTGTTTCATTTATGTAACCCTTGTTTGACTTAGGATCCTAAAAGACTCTTTGGGAGGAAATTCAAAAACACTGATGATTGCCTGCATCAGCCCATCTTCCTCAGACTTTGATGAGAGTCTGAATACGCTAAATTATGCCATGAGAGCCAGAAACATTCAGAACCAGGCTACAGTCAACTGCAAGCGTGAGCCAGATCGTGTAGAAGGGCTTGAGCAACAAATCAAAGCCCTTCGCAAAGCCCTTGAAATGCGCCAGCGTTCAGAGACCCGCATCATTGCTCACGCTGAACCAAACAGGAGGCCTCGACTTGGAGAAGGAGAGATCAGCAGACTGCAGGCGCAGAGTGCTCACTACAGGACCTGCACAGACACTGCTTACAGGTTAAAGCACATTTAAATGCTGTCTGCATTGTTTAATCAGTGTTGAAACTCTGTTTAAGCAAAGATCTATACAAAACATATTGCATGGATAAATTAGTAGGTATGTATATTGCATTTTCTCAACTACTGAGATGAATTCTTGCTCACAAATAATTCAGTAGTTATCGGTGCCCCATGCAGAAGTTAGCCATATAGAAATAAAGGTTAGTTTTTTGAAATATGGCCATCGTCATCTTTTAAATCATAAAATCCAGGCATATTAATATATTTTTGTCATTAACACTCCATTTTTCCTGTTAGTATAAACAATGACCCTAAAAAGAATTTAATGTGAAACAAATGACGACTCTGTTTACAGATGAACTACTAATAAATTTGTAGCTCTGGGTAATATGACTCCATTCAACCAAAAACTAAAACAAACATGAATGCGACTGTTTTTGGTGTCTGGATAGCAGCTTTGTACAGGAAAGATGTCATACTTGAGGACACAAGTCTATGTTTAAAATACTGGATAAACACCTGTTTTTGGACAAGTTGATCAGGAATGATGATGTATTTTCAGCAAAGCATCTCTGAGGCCACTTATTTTTCATAGGTTTAAGAAGCATTAGTGGTTAGTGTTTCATCCTTAACTCTTTATGTTGCTGGTATATCACAGGTTACTGCGGGAGTTGCAGAGTGAAAGGTCTCTGACTGCAGAACAGAGTCTGAGAGTGAAAGAGTGGCTGTGCTCGGTGGAGGAGGAACGGAGCGGGCTGACCACTGCTTCAGGACCTGACAGCGGTATCGAGAACAGCTGTACCGAGGACAGCGTTGCACTGAGGAGAGGAAGGCCTTCTGTTAGAAATCAGGCAAGTCTCTTTCATTCTCACAAGTAAATATTTAAAAATTGACTACAGGAATATAGGCATGCAGTACTGATGCGTCCATAAATGTGGTTTTGTTATCCAGGATCCAGAGGCTGCAGAAGAGAGGTGGAGCCATGAGCACGAAGCTGAGAAAGATGATAGTGTTGTCCACCTTCAAGCACAGATCCAGAGGTTGGAGAGAGAGAACACAGACTTTTTAGCAGCTCTGGAGGATGCTATGGAGCAATACAAGCAACAGGTCAGCTGCATTTTAATTGTAATATTGCTTTTCTGTTAGAGCAGTTTTTACACTGTGGTCACATTCATACAAACTATAGCACAGATACTGAACCCACAGAAGAGTCATCAGTAACCAACTGCAGGTTAAATTCAAAAAGGAAAACAGCCATAACACTTAGTAATTGGTGCTTTTTTCAATTGTTTTCCTTGTTTCTCAGAGCGACAAACTGCAGGAGCAACAGGACCAGATTGCAGAGCTGCAGTGTCAGCTGTCTACTCCAGGGCTGATGGGTATGGGCCTTAACTTGAGATTGCGGCCACATACTGCTCCCATGGGCTCCATGCAACACAGTCAGAATGGGGGCACATACATACAGGTAACCACCAAGCACAGTTAGTTTCTTAGCCTGTGATGTTTTGTGGATTTCAAAGTGGAATTCTTTGCTCAAGGGAAGGATTACTTAAATCAGCATTTTGAAATGTTCTCCACTTCTTTAAAAAAGAAAATGGAGGTGCATGCTCTTTGCTGGGATGAGCATATGTTAAAGTTGCAATGTACTAAAGTCCCACCAGTAACATTTCTTAAAGATGCACAAAAAAAGATGATTAGTCTTATCTTATTTTGAACCATATTGACTTTTAAGAAGATTTTTTGTAGATATGTGGATTTGTGTATCTGTTACAGGCAAGTCCAGTGGGCTGCCTTGGTAATGGGCCTTGTGGTGATCAGGATGGTAACCTCTATGAGGAGCAGGAGATCCCAGGAGAAGCAGAAATGCCAGGCACAGAAGAAGAGAACAGTCATTCCAACCTCAGCCAGGAGAAACACAAGTATGCAGCCTGTATCTTTAACTCTTTAAATTGGACATTAATAAAATAAATGCATGGCACTGCACAGACTGATCATTCACAGACTGTCTTAATGTCACTGCAGGTGCCTTATGTTATGTCTGAAGTATATATATATATAATGTAATTCCCATGACACTGTCAGGCAGGTGAACCTGACCTGGACCAAAAGGGATGTGCTGTCAGGAGGACTAACAGCTGGTGGTAAAGTGCCAACATCTCAGCTGCCTGAGCCAGACCAGCACCCCTGTTTAGCCAGAAAAGCATGTAAGTCTATAAGTGCAAGATGTCCCTGATTTGTTGAAGCATTGACTAGGAAGCCAATAAAAGGGTTGATACATTGAGATACTTGGCATTACAGCTCCACTGTTGACATTGTTTATGGACAAGTGTATTCACATATTCACACGATGTTTTATTATACCAGCCTACTGACCTCTTGTGTCCTCTCTAAAATGTGTAGCCAACTCCAGTTCTGGGGAGACATCACTACAGGAAAGTTTCAAAAATTTTGAAGGCATTTCAGAGAGGGGACTTCTTCAGGCGCAGCAGAAGATCAGGGAGCTGTCTGTCACCATACGCATGAAGGAAGAACTCATCAAGGAGCTGGTCAAAACAGGTAGCACTTTCTCTCATTACTCTTCCTCAGCTGCTTTTCCAAACTAGCCAGCACTCAAAGTGCAAACCTCTACCAAGGCAAATCACTGTCTCCATAATACCATTACACCTAACTGCAATATTCCCATGATAGTTTGACCCTGATAATACGATTCCTTGACCATGAAAACCTACCCCTAGCATTTGGAATCATGTTGATATCTCTCAACTCAACTCAACTCAACTTTATTTATATAGCGCTTTACCACAGCACAGCTGACCAAAGCACTTAACATATCATGCAAATATAAAAACAACACATAAAAAACTATAAACAATAATATAGACACTAACACTACAGACAGAGTCTCATTCCTGGCCAAACGCCAATGAATACAAGTGGGTCTTCAAATAAGACTTAAAAGTAGACAGGGAGGGGGCCTGCCTAATATAAAGCGGCAAAGCATTCCATAGGTTTGGACCTACCACAGCAAAGGCTCTATCCTCCCTAGTTTTCCGTCTGGCCCTTGGTGCCTCCAGAAGAAGCTGATCTGCTGATCTGAGGCACCGCGACGGATTATACGGACGCAAAAGTTCCACAAGATAAGATGGTGCCAGCCCATTTAAGGATTTATAAACAAATAAAAGAATCTTAAAACTAACCCTGAAACGCACCGGAAGCCAGTGGAGAGATGCCAGTACTGGCGTTATGTGGTCCTTCTTACGCCCCCCAACCAATCATTATTAGTTTGAAGGTTATTCAAGAACGACAATGTTTCAGCAATGAGTTTTCTTCAGGAGCTAGCTCAGCAACGTTTGAAGATGCTTCAGATCTGTTGACACTCTACAGAATCAGCAGTTTCAACTAGAATTTGATCCTAGTTGTTTAGTTACTTGGGTCCAGATTATACTTTGCTGTGTGGTAGATCTTATTTTGTTACCATGCAGATTTTGTAGGCATTAGTTAGAAACAAAACTAGTGACGTTGACTATTAAAAAAATTCCTGGATCCAAATGATGATCTGGATCAGCACCAAAATCTAATGGGTGTTTCCATGAGCCATACCCTACCTCCCTAAAAATGTCATCAAAATCCCTTCATTATTGAGTTATGCTGTGAAGAAAGCAACCAACAAATGCCACCTGGCAGAGGTAATAAAAGTCACTTCTGTGTTTTTGTAAATCAACTGCCATGGGTCTTTTTCTTAGGGAAGGATGCTCAGGCCCTGAACAGGCAATACAGCCATAAGATCACAGCTCTGGAGAGTGAAGCTGTTCAGGCTCGACAGGAGCTGCAGGAAGCCCAACGGCAGCTGCAGGATCTAGAGAGGCAAGAGAGAGAGATAAGCGCAACAGACAGGACCAGAGCACAGGAATGTCGCAGGAAGATAGCTGCTGCTCAGAGCAAAGTTCAGGTTTGGCTGCAACCTCTGTAGTCATACATACATAACAACACACAGGCAACGGATATCTGTAGATCGAGTGATGTTGAATTGTGTGGCATCTCATAGAATATTTTTGGGCAGCTTAGATGTTTACACGGTATTCTTACTTGATGGCTGTTTCTGATATGTTAGTTAACAAAACACTTGATTTTATATTCCTGCACTTGAACCTATAAAAGGGAGAACTTCTGTGATTGTTTTAGGTTCTAAGTCAGCGTCAGAGGGACACTGCCCATCTAGCCAACCTGCCTGCACAGAGTGAACGTCGTGTGCTAGAGCTAGAGCGCAGCGTCCAGTCTATGAGGCAGCAGCAGGAGCAGCTGCAAAGGCGGCTGCGTCAGGAAAGTCAGCAGAAACGACGTCTGGAGACTGAGATGCAACGTAGAACTCACAGAGTCAAGGTACCACTTAGAACAGCAGGCGTGCAGTTTTGTCTCAAAATGTTCTCAGTCTTCCAGGTCTTGTCTTGACTTCCAGTTCTCCCTTAATTGCCATTTCTTAACGACATTTTAAACAGTGAAAATTTCAAGGTGGAAGTGCTTTGATATCTTTTTATAGCCTCTCCTGCTTTCTAGGCATCAATTTTAGATCCTCAGTTGATGAGAGGAGCCTGTGGTTGAGTGTTACCAAGGGTTTGAAGAGCCAGATAATTCAAAAGTCCTTGAAATGTCATCAGCTGACAGTTCTTAATGGCCACCCTTGACCTGCCTGATGAAGTCCTTACAAATCAGTTAAGGCAGGTTTGTGAAATTCTGTGTTTTACAAGTGGAAGGGTGTCCAAACAATTGCACATACCACAACTGCAGTTAAATTTTGCTCTATTTAAGCTTGTGAAATAAAAATAACTGCATTTATAGCTGAGGATTGTCACACCAGAAATTTGTGGCCAAAGTTCATCTCAGTTTGTAATTTTGTGATAAACGTTTTTCATATATGGAAAAAAAAACATCCAGCTTTATTTGAAGAGACTAAATGAAGCAACACGTGGCATTTACTTTTAGAGTAGCCTGTAAAAGACATGAACTCAATACAATTTTATTTGTATAGCACCAATTCAGAATAACAATAATCTCAGTGCACTTTACATAGTAAAGTCTAGACCTTACAGTGTTAATAAGGAAAACCCATCAAATCTCCCTTATACAAGCACTTGGTGACAGTGGGGAGAAAAAAAAACTCCCCCTAATGGAAGAAAACCCCGACAAACCTGGGCTGCTGGTGGGTGGCCTACTGCCTTGACCAGTTGGGGTGAGTGGATAGAGGAGAGAAAAAAGAAAGAAAAGCATCAGAACAAAACAAACAAACACTGGCAGGTTGATGTGGCCGGTGACTGCTCATCAGAAACCTAGAGCTTCAGAGCCAGGGCTACCTGCAGAAAGGTACAGCATGGCATATAAAAATCTAATGGAGACTGGAGGATGTACCTCTATATAAAAAGTTCTAATGTATGGCAAACATTTTGATGTGTAGGTGCCAAATGCATTTATTTACCTTTTATCTCCTCTCCTGCCACTCCTACAGGAACTCGAGATAAAGAATGAACAGCAGCAGAAGATCCTGAGGATAAAGACAGAGGAGATCGCTGCCTTCCAGAAGCAGAGACGCAGTGGCAGTAACGGCTCTGTTGCCTCGTTAGAAGAGCAACAGGTGCAACAACAATTGGTCTAAAATGCACTAACATAACATACTTCCATGGATAATTTTTGATTTGAAAATCTTTTTAAATTTGGTAAATTGCACATGGTTAAGAAGTGTTCTAGCTCAGAGCTGACTAACATTTTGAAGCTGTAAAATACCGCTTAACAGTGCAGTGCTTGAAAATATATCAATGTCAGCTTAATATGAAGAGCATTACAAATATGATTAGTAATACAGTAGTACCCGAGTGTATGTTTTTTGTGATTGTGTGCTAGTCTGTCCCTTGTCCTTGACTCCCTGTGAGTAGAAGATTGAAGAACAAAAACGCTGGCTGGATGAGGAAATGGAGCGGGTACTGGAACAGAGGAGAGGACTGGAAGATCTGGAAGGGGAGCTGACTAAACGAGAGGAGATCCTAGCCAAGAAAGAAGCCCTGTTGCAGGAACGCAGTGGACTGGAGACCAAGAGGCTCCGCTCAAGTCAGGTATTAACAAACCCACACAAATCAGTTAACTGAGACAGGAAACTGGCAGCTGCTTAGAGTTTGTATTCATCATCTCTCCAGGCCCTGAGTAAAGACCTGGTGATGCTCACTGGGCGTATCGAGTCACTGGAGCAAGAACTCAGTGAGAGGAACGGTCTCCTTCGCAGCGGTAGTGCTCAAGACTCCCAGCAGATCCGCCAAGAGATCTCCAACCTGCGTCAGGAGAAAGATTCACTACTTAAACAACGAGCTGAGCTGGATGAAAAGCTGCGGCAGGGTAACCTGCTCTCACCTGAGGTCAGATATGGTTCAAGCATCTGCTTATAGAGTCACAGTAGGAATTCTGACTTGCAAGAATGTGGCACAAATTAATCCTCACTGGAAACTGTAATATTACCTGTCTGCCTTCAAATCCCCATTAAGCCCATCTGTTCCCTCTGGTGTTTTCAGGAGGAGCGGACACTTTTCCAGTTGGACGAGGCGATCGAAGCTCTGGATGCAGCTATCGAGTACAAGAATGAGGCCATCACTCAAAGACAGAGACAGCTGAGGGCTTCTGCCAGCATGCTCTCCCAGTGGGAGATGAACCTCATGGCCAAACTCAGTTACCTGTCTGCTTCTGAGACCAGAGCTCTGCTGTGCAAGTACTTTGACAAGGTGTGTTTTCAGCAACCTCACCTGTTTCAGCTTTCTGAAATGCTGTACTATACTTATTTAGTCTAGTTGGTTTCACCAAACTAATAGAGTTTAAATATCAATAACACTTAAAATTCTCACTAATGACAAAGCTTATTCACCATTTCATAAGAAGGCTGAGCAGTGTCAGACTTTGCACAATAAGACTATGTCTGAAGTCACCAGTATTTATCCTGAAGAATGTTAATTTAGATGCATTGTGTAGGTGGTGTCTCTGCGAGAGGAGGAGCGTAAGCTACAGCTTGCTCTGGCTGAGCTGGAAATGCAACTAGATGAGCAGCAAAGGCTGGTGCAGTGGTTGGAGAATGCTCTCGATCGCACACAACTCGACATAGATCGCAGACTCACACAACAGCAGAAGGAACATGAAAGGAGCGTACAGCTCTTACTGCAGCAGTGTCGAGGTGTGTTTCATACATGGACCTTTTACTAAAATAACTATCATTATTTGCTTAAAAATGTGCATTTTTGTACTTGTACCAGTTACACTACATGACAACTTAGACTGAGGCTAATGTCTACAGGTGCTTCCTTGTTACTGTAGGTGTTTAAAAACTAATTAAATGAATGGAAGTCAAGTATTTTTGGTAGCTTCTACTTTTTTTAATCATATTATTTCCATTATCAGCCACTAAGGTTGACTGTATTTGCATAACGTTGTGTATATTTCCCCACCCCCACAGAGCAAATGGATGAGGGCTTGGCAGGAAGGCAGCGACAGTATGAGGGATGGATCCATAACCTCAGCAAGGAGCTTAACCACTACAAGGCAGCAAATCTAGAACTAAGCAACAGGCTGAGGGAACTCTGTGGTTCAGGCAGCCAGACAAAGGAGTATGCTAAAGGTAAATGTATTATTAGATCAGTGTTTTCTGTAGATATGGTTAGGATATACAGTGGGTACGGAAAGTATTCAGACCCCCTTAAATTTTTCACTCTTTGTTATATTGCAGCCATATGCTAAAAGCATTTAAGTTCATTTTTTCCTCATTAATGGACACACAGCACCCCATATTGACAGAAAACACAATTTTTGACTTGCAGATTTATTAAAAAAGAAAAACTGAAATATCACATGGTCATAAGTATTCAGACCCTTTGCTGTGACACTCATATATTTAACTTAGGTCCTGTCCATTTCTTCTGATCATCCCTGAGATGGTTCTGCACCTTCATTTGAGTCCAGCTGTGTTTGATTATACTGATTGGACATGATTAGGAAAGCCACACACCTGTCTATATAAGACCCTACAGCTCACAGTGCATGTCAGAGCAAATGAGAATCATGAGGTCAAAGGAACTGCCTGAAGAGCTCAGAGACAGAATTGTGGCAAGGCACAGATCTGGCCAAGGTTACAAAAAAATTTCTGCTGCACTTAAGATTCCCAAGAGGACAGTGGCCTCCACAATCCTTAAATGGAAGACGTTTGGGACAACCAGAACCCTTCCTAGAGCTGGCCGTACGGCCAAACTGAGCTATCGGGGGAGAAGAGCCTTGGTGAGAAAGGTACAGAAGAACTCAATAATGACTGTGGCTGAGCTCCAGAGATGCAGTCGGGAGATGGGAGAAAGTTGTAGAAAGTCAAAGA